AAAATAAATTATCAATAATTAAAAATAATTGTGTCACTATAAATTATATATCACAATTATAAAATATAATTTATAGGTTTAAAATTACTTATTTATACAAATTTTAAATATAATTTATATATATTCAAATATAATATTTATTTACATATAAAATTTAATATAAAATTAATTATATATAATAAATATTTAACATGCAAATGTCAAAATACTACACAGTGATCCCATTTTAGTAATAACAAAAAATTTATTGTCAATAATTCAGCGTACGAAAAAATGGTCACCAAAAAGAAGCTGGTCCTGTCCTTTTTTCTTCTCCAATTATATATTAGGAGTATTAACTACGTTTCTTATCAAGTGTCTTTGAATTATACTTTTCGTTCTTGATTAACTCTTTTCATTAACCATCCATAAAACTTGATTTGCTAATTGCAAGAGATAATCATAACCCTGTGTTTGGACCAAGAATGAAGTTATAAAAAATTTGGAGAGGGTATTTCAATTTGCATTTGGAAGCATTTTAACGTGTGAAAGCACAAACAATTCCAAGTATGCATTGTAATGAGCTGTGTCGGTATCTCTTAACGGCTTTATATTTTTAGTTAGTTCGAGATTAAAATCTTGACCTGCAACTAAGTTCAAACAATCAAATAATTTTGTTCCAATGGCCTCAGCACTGAAAACTATGAGTACCGAAGAAAAAAAAATACTAAACCAGATACACTAGAGGGAGCTGCCCAATTCACAAAACAATGTAGATTAGAGCAAATTCAATTCTCTAACAACAGACCTGATGAACTTCTCACCCATCGAGTACCTTAGATTCTGAGAAGCCAAAGATTGCGTCTATAGCCTTTGCTTCATTAGGATTGAATAGAAGCAGCCTTGCCCTGGTGGTCTTCACCAATAAAATTATAGGTATCCACCAATATTTCTGGCTAACTGCATAATCAAAATTAACTTCAATCAGACTGCCAGAGATAATTTCTGATAACGAGACAGCATAGCATACACACTTAATAGAAACAACTCCACTTAAACTCCATTAAATGATGAGAATTTGTGCATGTCATGAGTACATTTAACATAATTCTCTTCCCACCAGATAGATACATTCCATAGCCACATGTAACAGTCGAAAGCTGGCTTTCTTGATCTGTGCCCAATTGACAATAATAGAAAGTTGAGCCAGAGCAATGAATATATCCTCAAAATATACCAGATTGATATTCTAGAGTAAAACCAAATTGCAGAAACTTGATACATTTAATGATAACTGATGATTGTTTTCCTTCTCGGTTGGACAGATACCAAGCAGCATCATGTATATTCATAATTGAATTCACTTCCTGAATTAGATAGACAGAATATCCAAGTACATTTTCCATCATAAATGAAACCTCACATATACCTTGAACCTTAAGAACTTACCTAGTTTAATTGCTCAGAAATAACTCTAGTAATTACATCCATAGTTGATACAGGGAACTTGAAACTATAATGCCAAGAAATACGAGTTGCTTTCACAATTACTACGAGCTAAGAGGAGAAAGCTATTGCATTAATTTTCTTTTTCGTTTTAATTTTTGATACAGCCATCCACAATGTGTTCAGCGTCAGCTGAAAATCCTAATTGCCATTATCAGAAGCTCTGACCTCCGAACCGACCTCACTTCCTAAAAGAATCCAACCTGGATAAGCTCCTATATTTGATCTATTGACAACCATGATAATAATGAAAAGGGTAAAATATGCTTTAGTTTCTCTAAATTATTTAAAAATTGATTTTAGCTCCTCAAAAAATATTTGTATGTTTTTGGTCCTTCTAACTTTAGTTCTTAAAGTAGTTTAAATATAATGCTTAAAAGCGATTACAAGTGTTATCTAAATTACTTTGAGAATTATAAGTTGTGCATTTCTAAATTAAAGAAATTAAAATTGAAAAAAAATATTTCTTAAGGACTAAAATCAAATTTAAAAAAATTTAGAAGGATAAAAATATATTTTGCCTGACTAAAAAACCTTACACTACTTGGTCCAACGGGGAGATGCATAAAGAACATGCACAAGAAGCCTTTCGTAAAATACTCATTTATTCTATGACTTGGAGAATAAATGGAAAGCCATTGGTGGTGAACGTGGCCGCCACTGTTGTGGTTGTAGAAATAATAATTATGATGATTATAAACTATTGAAACAAACAGAAATTACAATCTGTATACAGCAAACTCACCTCATTATTTAAAGGTTTTAATTTATATAATATAAAACATTTTGAGAATTGACGACAATCATACAAATCAGACACCAGCAACAAACACCAAATCTAGCCTCTTATTTTTCAGCCTATTTAAGTTCTTGCATATAAAACTCTTGGTTTAATAGGCATCTTTTTAAAGAGGCTAGGAGTAAACAAGACCGTTGGTTTTCATGTGAGAACAAAGAAAAAGCAAGAATTTACCTAATTTGTTTGCATTGATTTTAGACAGATCCCACGGGAATCATCTTTAGAGCTGCTGCAATTGGCATGCCAAGAACTCCAAGGAGAATGCTACCAAACCATTGCTTCAAACTAAGTGGAGATGTGTTTGCATAGGTGCCCAAGAATTCAACAATTACAATTTGGAAGATGACAGTAGAGGTGAGGACAGCAACAAACACATAATTCTTCAGTATACCTTGAAAAACATTTATCCTCTCCATATCCCTGGAACTAATCTCATTGAAAACCTAACAAGACATTTGAATAACAGTGATCATAAAAAGAACAATCAGATAACATAATATAAGGAATTACAGTTAGAACAATATATTCAGGAAAATTCACTACTCAGATTACATTCAGGTTAGCCTTTAGAAAAATATTCGACCATAATATTTTAATTTTCTTAATTAAGAAGTTAGAACATCATTAGTGAAAATTTTATACTTGACAAGAGAGGCAAAACAAACTTGTCTATAGTCTGAACATGAAATCATGTCCAGAGAACAAGCATTCAACACAGATGGTACAAAATTTAAATTTTGCTCCATTTGTTTAACAAGAAAAAGAACTGGAGAAAGCAAAAGAAGTCAGCAACTTCAACAAAAAACAAATCTCCAAAGCCAGCAGAATTTGCAATGCATGTAACTTCTGTACTTTCAATTTCAAGACCATTTTTGTGCAAAGGAAGACAGACACAAAGTTAAGTCCAATGCTGTAATGGTTTTAACATTACCTGACAGAACACAAATGAGTTGAAAATGAGTGTATTCAATGTCATATCAGAATCTGGGCCATTAAGATGAAATGTTACTTTTCCTCTGGTCTGGAGGAACCATATTACGACAAATTGATATATAGACTGCCCCAAGATATTCCTCCACATCACATTACTGATAAAGTTTCCTTTCCTACCAACAGGTGGTCTTTTCATCAACTCGTCATTAGGAGGTTCAGTGGCTAGAGCAAGTGCTCCAAGAGTGTCCATAATCATGTTGACCCATAGAAGTTGAACCGCAGTGAGGGGAGCATTTCCTAGCAATTCATATATAATGAAGGGGGAAAATGAGACTTAAAAGTAATAAATTACTGCCAAAAAAAAAAAAACTTTGATCATGAAGATAATAACGGGCAGCGTCATGGTTACCGGTCAAACAGGCAGAAGAGAAATTGACGATCAAAGCAACAACATTTACAGTTAGCTGAAACTGCACAAATTTCTGAATGTTTATGTAGACTGAGCGACCCCATTTGGCCACGGTCACAATAGTAGAGAAGTTATCGTCTAGAATTATTACGTCCGCACTTTCTTTTGCTACCTGAAATTTATAAAAAAAAATGTCTAAAATTATATCATCACGTACATTTTGGCATATCCATAATTCCAATGACCAAGACCTTCCGCTAGCAACCAATGGAATGATCTGGAATTCAGATAATGAGTGAGAAATTCTATCAAAGCCCTATAAATTTGAGGGATTTTGGAATTGTTGATTTTTAGACTAATAGTGTTTTCGTATTAATATTTTGCTGTCTAGATATCAAAATTAGTTTTTAAGGTGATTCAAATGGCTTTATGATGTTTACCTTTTAGGATAATTCAGATGAGAAAGTGTTCACCTATGGGTTTTGACAATGAAAGCAAGAGTGAAAAAAAAAACCAGAGACTATTTTTTGATAAAAGCATTTTTAGTTGATTTTCACCAATCATAACAATTTCAGGAATTCTTCTCAACCTCTCGTATATTTTAATCTATTTTTATTTTAATTTTATATTGAATTTTAATTTTTTTTTAAAATATCAATAGTTAAAAATACCTTATATTACAGTATACATATTTTATTATTAATTTAAAATATAATTTATATATTCAAAATTTTATTGGTTACAATTTTTAATTATAATATATTATAATTAAATTCAAATGTATTTATTTGTTATTAAATTAAAACTACATAAAGTAAGCATTTATGATGTATAATGCACATACTAAATATTAGTAATTTTATTAAATAACTCTTAATAAATATACTCTTATTTAAAAATAATTCTTAAAAATAGTCTCAATTAAGAATTCAAATTTAAATTATAGCCATTTATTAACAAATCTACATTTAAAGTATTCTGGATCTTTACCTGTTAGTGGCTCACCAATATTTGACACCACCAAATAATTAACATAAAACAATGGCCTTTTAGGTAATGGTGTGGCATTGGTTGTGCGGTCAGATCAAGTATTGGCTTGGGCCCGGAGTGATAGGGTTATGTTGGAGCTGATTTCGGCAATGAAGTTGCCCTTCTATCTAACTTTTTCTTTGAACATGTAATCCTCATAACATATAATCCTAGGGCTTGTGTGATGTCTCAACTAGGAATGTTAAACAAATTTGTAATGGAAAATATCTACCGAAAAAATATCCTGGATAGGAAATAAATATTATAAAATAGGTATTTATGAATAACGATATGAATATTTTTTATACTTGAATGTTAATAGATAGGGATGTCAAAAAAATTCATATCTACAAATATTTGTGGAAATCTGCTGATGGCATCCTTGCTTCCATTGAAGATGGAATGTTGAACAATGGCAAGGGATGCTTGGACTCCTTGGATCAAAGTTCCTCAAGGGGCATTTTTAATGGAGGAATGGGACGGAAATGGAAGTGTGGAGGTTGGGTAAAAGGTGTTTGATGAAAGGCTTGAGGAGGGTACTCTAGGGTTGGCTCACTTCATGATGATGAAGGCCACTTCTAGGGTTGTTTCTCTCAAGGTGGAAATGGTAGGGTGGTGGCCGAAAATAGCCAAGGGAACTAAGGAAAATATTAAGGCACAAAAGGCTCACTCAATATTATAATTTCCAAAGTATTTACAAGGTGTGGTGCCTAGGGTATTTATAGGAGTGGGAGGAATCTAGGGTTGCATTTAAGGTTGCATTGGCCGAACTTTACAATGCCAAATGCACACCAAATGAAACCCAAATTAACCTTAGATGCAACTTGGTGGCCAAGGATAGAATTTTTGGGTTTAGTTAGGCTACATCTAGGTGCATGATAAGACCATGCAACCTTTGTCCTCCATTTAGGCCTAAGCCTTTCTAAATCCAAAAATAGGTCCAAACAGTACCAAAAATGCATCTAGCTCCCTAATTAAATACCTTAGCCCAAAATTAAAAACCTATGATCTAAAGCACCCCATAATACAAGGGTAAAATGGGAAATACAAAAGAAAATAAATCTTATGACTAATATACCATAAAATACAATTTTAAAATTAGAAATACAAGTAAAATAAATCCTATTCTTAATATACCCAAAATACAAGGGTGAAAATGGGAAATTTAAAGATAAGGGCAAAATAGGAATAAATTTTATGCTAATAAAAAACATAGGAGCTAAGGCCCAAAGCTAGGCCCACTCCTCTTAGGATTTTCAAAACTAACCCATTCCTCTTGCCTTTTTCAAAATATCACCTATTGGTCTTCTTGGCCTTAGTTTGATTCCATAATCCCCTCCTCTTGAAAAGGATTTGACCTCAAATCAAGAGGTTCTTAATGGTGGACGTCATGACCAACAAAAACATAAAAATAAGCATGAGAGGCAATAGTATATGATATAGATGGAATGTGCATCCTAAGAGGAGTTCCACTAAAAATGCTAAAAAGATTTTCTAAACTAAAAAGACTAGACTCCCCAATGCTAAGGATAAGATCCTCCCCATGATGAAGTCTAGGTGTATAACTAAAGCCTAAAAAGTTAAAAAGACTAAAACTATAGCACACTAAAGCATTAGTCCTAAGAACTAAAATATCTTGTTGGAGGTATCCAATGTAGTGACCTAGGTATGTATTGGAAAATAAAGAAAACTTAACTAAAAATTTACCTAAACAACTTTTGTATTGCATTATTTGTTAGATACATATGAGAAAAAAGTGTTAAGAGGAGTCTAGAAAAATCATATAAAAGTTTGTCTTGTAAGGAAGTATCCAAGTTAAGTTCAAATAAGTTTGAACTTCCTTTAAGATCAAAAATAGAAGATACAACACCATGAGATGTATCTAACAAACCATACAAACCAAAAGTTGGGTGCTTGATGAAGACAATTAAAGTAGAAATAGTCTTAAAGAAAGGAGGCTTATCTACCTTGGGCACCACCAAGGAAGTCACTACAAAAAATATGCAATTTAGCGACCACCAAAATCGGTCGCTAAATTGCAAAAATCAGTCGCTATTTACCTTAGCGACCGAATTTAATCAGTCGCTAAAACCCTGGTCGCTAAGCTATTTAGCGACTGAAAAATTTTCGGTCGCTAAATGGTTGAAATGATTTTGGTTGCTGAAGTGTATGAGACCAAATTAGTGACTCAATAAATCGGTCGCTAAATCAGTCGCTAAATATTTATTTTTTATTTTATTAAATTTTATAGACGTCGCAAATTTTGTCGCTATGAACCACTCATATTTGGCCTCTTAAGGATTTTATTTCACAATACTTAAGTTTTTAACATGTTTTGTCCTTAATTACACAATTTTTGGAAACTTTTCAAAAGCTCACTCATCCCTATATTACTCCAAATCAAGCACGCTTAACTGTGAAGTTCTTATGAGATAAGCTACTGAAAAGCAAATGCATGTTGTGAGTATAAGTAGTACAAATTAATTCATTTAAGTCATCCTCAACTATCCAATCTCATACTTATATTATTTTTGGATCCTTATCATTTTGGTATATCCGGACCGTCGTAAATATATAATAATATATATAATAATTATATTAATAATAATAATAATTATATTATATTTAATTAATCTTTATTTATATATATACTTACTTTTATAATTAACAATCTACTTATTTCTATTTAAAATTAATTTTATGATACAATTTAAATTATTTATTATAAATTTAAAAGTTTAAGTAATAATTTATATATTTTAAAATGAGAAGGGTTATAATAACACTGGTATAACTTTTACTAAGTATTACACCGCTCAATAAATTTATATTAAATGTGAATTTTGTAAATCCAACCGATAGATTGAAAGTTCATATCACTTTATATGTTTATATCAATTTTTGTTAAAATTAAACAACAACTTAAAAGTAATCAAAGTGCTCATATTTTATTTGAAATGTATATATTACGTCAATTTTGTTTTACAAGAATGAAGTATCAAATCATCTTGAATTCATATAAGATTTTGTATATATGATCTAAGAGTAAAAAACTTTCAATCTAACAGTTGAATTTATAAAATTCACATTTAATATAAAGTTATTAAGTGATGTAATACTTAGTAAAAGTTACACTGATGTTATTATAACCCTTTTCTTTTAAAATATTATTTTTATAAATTAAATTTTAACATTTTAAATAAATTATTAATTAACTTAATGATGAGGTTCCACTTGTGAATCCTCAAGAACACCTTCAATGCTTCTCGGTTCCTTGGAAGAGTGGCAAGGAAAGGACTCCAAGAAACAACAATGTGACCTATGCTTGCTCAAGCTAAATCCGGAAGAAGGAGATGCAACCTAGCTCTACAAAGAGAGGAGCTCAAGGAAGGTAGAGGTAGGTTGTGTGAGAGACTTTCGGAGAGAAGAGAATTCAAGGATAGAAATCTCATGTATATATTCCAAAAGTAATTACAATTCTCGGCTACTTTGAATTTATAGGGAAAAATTAGGTTAAAGGAACCTTGGGTTAGCCTAAGGTTAAGTGAAACCATGGTATGGTTTACTTAACCTTAGGCGCCCAAAATTTGAATTCAAAATTCAAATTTTGGAGCCAAACTCTGAACCACACCATGTGCACCTCACTTGGAATGTAATTTAGCTTCCATTTGAGTTGCATTTCGGTCACACCATGTGCATGTGTTGCACATGGCCGAAATGCATACCAAATGTAAAGCTAATTACATTCTAATGCAAATACACATGCAACCTTAAATAAACCCTAAATTCAAATGGCCATTAAATGAAAATCCTAATCTAAATGGCCGAAAATACAAGGCCTAAAAGAATTACAAGGCCCTAAGGCCCAACCCTACACTACTCTTACTCTACTTGGGCTTGATTCAAAGCCCAACTAAACAATGTGATGGGCTTTCCTTGAGCTTGGGCCCACTCCTCTTGGATCCTCTTTGCCATAGCCCTAGTAGTTGGGCCCTTGGCCCATGGGCCTCCTCCATCATCCCCTCCCTCTTGAAGAGGATTTGTCCTCAAATCCAAAGCATCCTCCACTTTGGTAGCAAGTCCTGTAAAGAGAGACAAATCAAAAACATTAAAACTAGGACTAACACCATATTCAGAA